TCATCTACGTAAATAAGCAAAAAAACTAATAGGCCCATTTTTAATGGTAAAGTGTCTACAAAGCTGCAGAATTTAGCATAGAGATACATAATCACAATACTCAATTACTGGTTCAGTCCTGGTCTACATATATCAACAGGCAGTAAGTTAAAATTATAGTGCTTAAATTTTGTATAGCCCAAAAGACTTCTACATCTTTTAGCAGATCACACGCAGCCATTGCTACTTGGCACTCCAAGCTATTTTAATAGCTGAATGACTTGACAAGAGTGTAGGTATCCAAACTGCTGCAAACACATCCGTAAGTAAGATAATGGATGCAATTTAAATGTATCCTACTCTACACAGTTATGCAGCCAAGCACCTGTGAGCTAAAAGCTGTTTTTATCAACCAGGCTACAAAGAAGGTTCCAAAGTCAGAAGGGACTCCATAAAACACATGAAGACCAGAAGAAGACTCACCAAAATGAAGTTATAGTCATCCTGTTTTCATGAATTTGAAGCTGTAACATTTGACAAGTATGACAATAAGGCCAATTCTCCAGCCTCATTCATATACACACACATGTGAAGTAGCTTATGCGATGGAAAACTCAGCTTGAAGTAGCCAATCAAGTATAACTGAACCCAGCAAGTACAGAAAATAAATGCACACAATCTTTTCACGTGATAACTTACCATTGTTATGTTATTTCCATTTAGCAAGATTTGGTCTAGTTTTGTGATTCTTCTGCCCTCAGGTGTAATTTCACTGAAACAGCGTGAGGGGAGGGAGAAAAAAAAAAAGAGTCATAGATAAATAAGAAAAATGTAACAATGGAAAATTATTACAGCTTTAATTAAATACAGACATAAAGCTCTATAGCATAGTGCAATAAACCAGGAAAAAAAGGGCTTCATGACATAGCATCCTGTAGTTCAAGTCTAAGGTCTAAATCACTCAATCAGCAAAATAAATAATGTCATTTATATATACATGGGCACTTTCTTGATATCATGCCTATGTAAACAGGGTAATCAAAGCTTAAAACACACACACACACACAAAGAAACCCCACAAAAAAAACCCAAAGAGATAGAAATTTGACTTACAATTCTGTAACATCTTCTAACACCATATCTAGAAGTCTAGTTTCAAGGAAAATAAGCCACACATCCACACAAAATACTAAAGGCTATGTGATTTTGTTTATGAAATGAAATCAGAGTGACATACCAATATAGGATGTTTCTACTCAGTGAACACCAAACATTTTCAAAGGATACTGACAAAGTCATCAAATCCTAGAAGCGTTCCAACGATTTCTTTATCACTCTTCATGACAATATGAATGCGCGAACCTATGCATTTGTCTACAAGCTCTGTATGTTTAAAAAAAAAAAGGTGGGGGGGAGAGGAGAGACATGAAAAACATACTTCTAAACAAAATGTCTAATTAATTTTTTTTTGGCTATCATAATTACCAAAATAACTGTCAACAACACCAACTAGTAAGACAGAGAAAAAAAGTTGTTTAAAAAAATATGACTAATACTACATTAAAATATCTTCAAGCTAATAGCACTGTTTAGACATACCTTCACAAAAACATGTTAGTATTGCTGCTAAATGTATGCCTAACTAGCGATTGCTCAGCACTGAAGTTAAGATAATCTTCAGCAGCTTGGTACTGCACCCAAAATAAAGCTATGAATAACTGCCTTGAATGCCATCCATCCTCAGAGATTTGTTTATTATGCCCTCCAACAGGAATTTACCACTTCACTAACATTTGCCAGAAACTGAGCAGTTTACTGAGAAGCCCGGGGAGCGTTATAGGGTAACCAAGCTCCCACAGCTTTAACCAGCAAAACAGAAGCTTTATCGACGAGCAGTGCCTGTTCTCCTCACCTGTACTCCCAGACCGCCTCCCCGTGGCGCAACGTAATGCTTATACTATAAGCTAACGCGATTATGCCTTTATTATTGTTACGAGAGGTGTGTGTCTGTGCGTGTGCGTGTTTTATCTTGCCTCTACCCCCAGACACGGCGCCACGGCAGGTTTAAGCGCCTCAGAAGGCGCCCACGGCACGACCCTCCCTCGCCCCCCTCACACATCGCGGGGGGCAGCCTCTCTCCTGCGCATGCGCAGTCCGGCGCCCGCGCGGGCCCCAACTGCCGCC